GATCAGGACATTCCTACAAACCCCTGACCTAGCAGAAGAAATGTTCTAGGAGGCAGATTGGGGTTGCTGAGGCTCAGCTGAGCCCCCAGCTTAGGCCAGGGAAGTAAGGCCCTCTAGCTGACACCAGGAGTTTGCCGGTAATGCTTGTTCTCCCAGGACATTCTCAGGGGATTCACTACCCACTGAGCTGGAAGAATATCCAGCTGCTTGGCCAAGTTCACATCCAAAGCCCATCCTTCCATGGCCGCTTGGAGGCAGCCTCAATAATGGATGTGAGTAGGGAAACGCTGAACAATGTGGCCAGTGATTGGGCTCCCGGGGAACCTAGACCCAGAGAGGGTCCCAGGAACCCTGGCTGCTCCAGACTGGTGCAACTGCCAGGCCCGGACCTTCTCCACTCCCCAAAGTCTCAAGGAGCAGCCACAGCCCAGCATCCTCCTATCCTTCAAACTTCTCTGATCACTCTTGCCATTCAGAGATTCCTGACTCAAGTGCCTTCCACCACTCCTCTTCCCCTCTTTGTGCTATCTTGAGTGGAATGACCTCCTTCCATGAGACCTTGGGCCAGGAGAATAGGTCGAAAAAGACTTCAACTAAGGAAAAGTGGGGAAAAACATGAAGGCCACACCCTTCTTCCTCTTACCCAGGCCATAGGCAGGGTTCACCAAGGAATGATCTTGTCCTATGAAACATCTCAGAGAATATAAGAGCAGGGGCCCCTCAGTCCTGGGGTGGTACACATGTTAGTTCTCTATTGCATCTATAGTAGACATTGCTAATCAATTCCAGCTCCTTTCTGCTGAGCCCAGACAAAGCCTCCCAATCCTTCCAAATATGGAACTTACAGAACTACCAGTGGCTGACACTTACACTGTTTTTTATTTTCCTACAGAGATGAAATCTCACTGTGTTGCGCAAGCTGGTCTGGAACTCCTGGGCTCAAGTGATCTGCCCACCTGAGCCTCCCAAAGTGTTGGGATTACAGGCGTGAGCCACCACACCTGCCTGAAGCTGACACTCTAAATAAAAGCTATTGATCACCTCTGATCTAGCCTAACTTCAATAGGAAAACTGAGGTCCCTAGAAGGCAAGGGTCTTACCCAAGGCCAGAGATTTATTGCAAGAGCAGACAGGATTTCAGGCACCAGCTTTTTTTTTTTTTTTTTTTTTTTTTTTTGAGATGTAGTCTTGCTCTGTGGCCCAGCCTGGAGTGCAGTGGCACAATCACAGTTCACTGCAACCTCCACTCCCATGTTCAAGCGATTTTCCTACCTCAACCTCCTGAGTAGCCGGGATTACAGGCGTGTGCCACCGTGGTCCAGCTAATTTTTGTGTTTTTAGTAGAGACGAGGTTTCGCCATGTTAGCCAAGCTGGTCTCAAACTCCTGGCCTCAGGTGATCTGCCCACCTCGGCCTCCAAAGTGCTGGGATTACAGGCATGAGTCACCGCACCTAGCCACTGGCTTTTTAGGCCAGGCATGGTAGCTCATGTCTGTAATCCCAGCACCTTGGGAGGCCCAGGCGGCTGGATCACCGGAGGCTGGGAGTTCAGACCAGCCTGGCCAACATGGTGAAACCCTGTCTCTACTAAAAAATACAAAAATTAACTGAGCCATGGTGGCACACGCCTATAATCCAGCTACAGGACTGAGGCAGAGAATCGCTTGAACTTGGGAGAAGGAGGTTGCAGTAAGCTGAGACTGCACTACTACACTCTAGCCTGGGCAACAGAGTGAGACGCTGTCTCAAGAAAAAAACAGTTTGTATAGAGGAGACAGTGTTTATGTTTTGTCTCCCCTACCACATGGTGAGCTCCTTCAGGAGAGGCCCTGGGTGTGTTTAGCTTCTGACTAATGTACACACCAGGCACACAGTAGGTGTCCATGAAAGTTTCTTGGCTTACTGAGGAGGAATGGATGACATGAGTTAGAGGGAAGGCTTGAGTATTCGCTCCTAAAGTCAGAAGATGCTTCAAGGTCACACATTTACGGATACTACCCTCTCAAAACAACATACATGGGAACCCAGATAGATACATTCTTAATCTAAAGATGAGGAGGTGGGCCGGGCATGGTGGCTCACGCCTGTAAACCCCGCACTTTGGGAGGCCAAGGCGGGTGGATCATCAGGTCAGAAGATCAAGACCATCCTGGCTAACACAGTGAAACCCCGTCTCTACTAAAAATACAAAAAATCAGCCAGGCATGATGGCAGGCGCCTGTAGTCCCAGCTACTCAGGAGGCTGAAGAATGATGTGAACCTGGGAGGCGGAGCTTGCAGTGAGCCGAGATCCTGCCACTGCACTCCCGCCTGGGTGACAGAGCGAGACTCCGTCTCAAAAATGAATAAATAAATAAAAATAAAAAAATAAAGATGAGGAGGTGAGGGACCTCCGTGTGGATGTGGATTTGAATTGTGTCTATAGCAGAAATTTTACCATAGACTAAACTTTCAAACAATAGAAGCTAAAAGAGCTTACAAGTCAACTAAAATATGACATTTCAATGAATGTCAGTGGTTTCAAACCGCATTGCTGACTATAAATATCAAAGTAATGAGGCATGTGGGAAAGTCTCCTATATCCATATCATTTATGTGAGATTCTATTATTTAACTTTGCCATTAAAATATGACTGATACACTTAAGCTTTTAAGACCAACACTCTACAGTCAGCTTTTTGAAGTATCAAAAAAATGCATCTAGACTGGGCACTGGTGGCCAGCAATCCCAACACTTTGGAGACTTAAGGTGGGAGATCCCTTAAGCCCAGGAGTTAGACACCAGCCCGGGCAACATGGTGAAACCCTGTCTCTACAAAAAAATGGCTGGGTGCAGTGCTTACGCCTGTAATCCCAGAACTTTGGGAGGCCAAGGCAGGCAAATCCGAGGTCAGGAGTTCGAGACCAGCCTGGCCAGTATTGTGAAACCTGTTTCTACTAAAAACACCCACACAAAAATTAGCTGGGCATGGCGGCATGCACCTGTATTAGTCCCAGCTACTCGGAAGGCTGAGGCAGAAGAATTGCTTGAACCGAAGGGTGGAGGTTGCAGTGAGCTGAGATCTTGCCACTGCACTCCAACCTGGGCAACAGAGTGAGACTCCATCTCAAAAAGAAAAAAAAAAAAAAAGTCAGGCACGATGGCTCACGCCTGTAATCCTAGCACTTTGGGAAGCCAAGGCAGGTGGATCACAAGCTCAGGAGTTTGAGACCAGCCTGGCCAATATGGTGAAACCTCATCTCTACTAAAAATACAAAAATTAGCCGGGCATGGTAATGGGCGCCTGTAATCCCAGCTACTTGGAAAGTTGACGCAGAAAAATTGCTTGAACCCGGGAAACAGAGGTTTCAGTGAGCCGACATCATGCCACTGTACTCCAGCCTGGGTGACAGAGTGAGACGCCACCTCAAAAAAAAAAAAAAAAAAAAAAATTAGCCAGGCATGGTGGCATGCATCTGTAGTCCCAGCTACTCAGGAGGTTGAGGTGGGAGGATTGCTTGAGCCCCGGCGGCTGGAGGGTACATTGAGCCAAGATCATACTACAGTACTCCAGCCTGGTGACAGAGCAAGACCCTGTCTCAAAAAAAAAAAAAAAAAAAAAACAAGAAAAAGAAAAATGTATCCATGACATTTAAATAGATATACCTAAAATATAAAATAAAACAAAAACGAATGGGAATTGAGGTCTGGGGCCACAAGAAGGCCAAAGATCAATCAAGGACTCAGAACCTATCTGCTTCTGTGGCCTCTTGGACACTCCTTTAGGGAAACCAAGGCAACCCACCAGGATTTGGGCCTGGGACTCAACTCAGCAGCTTCTCTGGCCGTGTTATTCTCATCAGCCCCCGCCACCTCCGTGTGTCTGTTCTGGGCCATAAGCCAGAGACACATTCCTCAGGCCTCCACTGGCTTCCAGAGCTGACAGAGTTTGAGGAAAGGGCTGAGCAAAGCAGAAACCTCTTGAGAGACATGGCACAAGATGGTCGTGGGACAACCTCAGCAGGAGGCCTATAACAACTGATGGGGGAAGCTGAGGCCCACAGAGGGCAAGTGTCCCACCCAAGACCACACTGTGAGGGAAGAGTGGAGAAAGTCATCCAACCAAGGTTCCACCACAAAACTCCTCTCTGATCATTGCTGGGAAGGATCTGATGTCCTGCTCTATAAAAAGCCAAGGCTTCCAGATGTGGCAGCTCATGCCTGTAATCCCAGCACTTTGGGAGGCCCGAGCAAGGTGGATCACCTTAGGTCAGGAGTTCCAAGACTAGCCTGGCCAACATGGAAAAACCTGTCTCTACAAAAAATACAAAATTAGCTGGCAATGGTGATGCACACCTGTAATCCCAGCTACTTGGGAGGCTGAGGCAGGAGGATCTCTTGAACCCAGAAGGCAGAGGTGCAATGAACCAAGATCATGCCACTGTATTCCAGCCTAGACAACAGAGCAAGATTCCATCTCAAAAAAAAATAAAGTAAAATAAAAGCTGAGGCTTCTCCCAAAGGAAGATGGGTCTTAGGGTTTTAAGGTCCAGGAACCAAAAGAACCTGAAGTCAAGAGCTCTCCAGGCCCCCAAAGGAAATAATCTGAGCTGCCCCTTCCCCAGTCTGCACCCCTCTCTCCCTGTGTCACTCAGGGGCTGGCACACTCTGCCATGTACCTTTTTGCCCTAGTCGCAACAACCCAGAAAGGCAGGAGCTACATCCCCGTTTTACAGATGAGGAACTAAGGCTCAGGGAAATGAAGTGACTTGTCCAGGGCCACACAGCTAGGACTGGAAGACAGAAAATGCAAACCAGGTCTGCTTAGCTCTGTGCCAGCTCTCCCTCCACCACCCCACGCTGTCTTCAGGCAGGTCCCTAAGTTCTGTTTCTATTTTCAATCCTGCCCATCTCCCAGCCCCCAGTGCTGGGCTGGGGCCTCTTGAGGCCTGGGGGAGGTAGGGAAGCAGTGGAACACGTCCACCCGGCCCCGTCTGGACCCTGGAACGTCCGTGCTTACCCTCCAGCACCACCTCCTTGCCTGTCTTCTTGAGGCTTGCACCGCCTCATCATGGGTAGCAGAGGACAAGTCTTCCCCATTCACGGACAGGATGGCATCCCCCACATAAAGAGCCTCTGTCTGGTCAGCTTGCCAATCCCTTGAAGATCTTGGAAATGAAATAGGCATCTTGTTCTCCCGGCCGCCTGCATAGGCACAGAAGGAGGACAAGACTGAGGCAGATACCTCCGACAATTGGGAGTTTGCATCAAGGCACAATTATTTCTGAAGGCTTCCCTTGGTGCCTAGCCCCGTGCTGGAAAACGGAATAGGAGAATAAGGGAATCTGAGAAAACGTCTTGGAAGTTTGGGACACTAGTAATACTAATAGTACATCATTTTCGATCAGGTTCGGTGGCTCATGCCTAAATCCCAGCACCTTAGAAGGCTGAGGTGGGCAGATGACCTGAGCTCAGGAGTTCAAGATCAGCCTGGGCAACATGCAAACCCGCCTCTACTAAAAATAAAAAAATTAGCCAGGCGTGGTGGCAGGCACCTGTGGTCTCAGCTACTAGGGAGGCTAAAGTAGGATTACTTGAGCCCAGGAGGTCGAGGCTACAGTGAGCTGAGATTTGTGCCATGCACTCCAAGCTTGGGTGGCAGAAGGAGACCTGGTCAATAAACAAATTAATTAATTAAATGAATCATTTTCAAATTCATAATGCTATAGTTTGATCCCTGGATCTTTTGATAAGTGCTTTGGGTGTTCACTAGTGTTTGTACAACTTACAAAGTGCTTCAATCACTTTTTCTTAAATATTTTGGATTTTCTCATGTACCCCATAAATATATATACACCTACTATGTACCCACAAAAAACTAAAATGAAAATAACCAGATAAAGTGGCTCACGCTTGTAATCCAGCACTTTGGGAGGCCAAGGCGGGCAGATCACTGAGCCAGTAGTTTGAGACCAGCTGGCCAACATAGTGAAACCCTGCCTCTACTAAAAACATAAAAAAGGCCAGGTGCGGTGGCTTATGCCTGTAATCCAGCAACTTTGGGAGGCCAGGCTGCCGGGTGGATCACTGAGGTCAGGAGTTCGACACCAGCCTGGCAACATAGTGAAATCCTGTCCCTACCAAAATACAAAAAATTAGCTGGGAGTGGTGTGGAGCCTATAATCCCAGCTACTCGGGAGACTGAGGCAGGAGAATCGCTTGAACTGGGAGGCTGAGTTGCAGTGAGCCAAGATTGCACCATTGCACTGTAACCTGGACAATAAAAGCGAAATTCCATCTCAAATAAATAAATAAATAAATAAAAACACAAAAAATTAGCTGGGCCTGGTGCACACGCCTGTAGTCCAGCTACTCAGTGAGGCTGCGGCAGCAGAATCGCTTGAACCTGGGAGTAAGGTTGCAGTGAGCCAAGATCACACCACTGCACTTCCAGCATGGGTGACAGAACAAGACTCCGTCTCAAATAAAATCAAAATACAAAAATTAGCCAGGCATGGTGGGTGTGCCTGTAATCCCAGCTACTCAGGAGGCTGAGGCACGAGAACTGCTTGAACCCAGGAGGTGGAGGTTGCAGTGAGCCGAGATTGCGCCACTGCACTCCACCCTGGACAACAGAGCAAGACTGTCTCACACACACACACACACACACACCCACACACACACAAAAAGAAGGCAACAATGTGGAACCCACGATACCCTCCAAACTGGAATCAAGAGAGAAGTCGGCTATTCCTATGGCCTCAAAAGACTGCTTTAGCAATCATAATGTTTACAATCCAAAATCCAGGTTGGAAACCAAAGCCTTAGAGTCTAGCGATTCTAAAAACCTACCTGAATGGCATCTTGGATACAAAAGAAGCTAATACATTTTACTAAACGGCTTTATACCAAACTCTTAAATGCCTTTTAAAATAAGAAATAGTAATAAATAGGTCACCTTAGTTGCATGTACCAAATGCCAACATTGCGTCTTTACAATATCCATCACGTAGGCATGCTCAGTTTCCTATTACAGACACTGAAGTGGGAGGGAAGCCCCTTGTCAAGGTCACTCAACTAGTAAGTTAGCAAAGCAAGCCAGTATTTGCACCTAGGCCTCCAGGGCTCAAGAACCAACACTATTAACCCTACCACAGACCGGCAAGTCAGCCCTCAGATATCACACTCCTGGCTCATCCCAGAATACTGAAGATGAAGAATTAGTGTCCCAGAGTGGGAGGTCATTGTTCCAAGGTCACACAAGCTGCTGGTGGAGCTGGGACTGGAACACCTCTCTTGACACCCACGCAGGCCCCACCGTTTGCTTATCTGCACAGAGCTTGAAGTCTAGGAGAGGAAGGGGTTTCTATTTATATCTGCCCTCCCCCACCTGAAACTAGGGGCTTCAGTTCAGTTTGAAGCTATGATCACTCATGGCTGCCTCAGACTAAGCTAGACTCTATAGGAGGGGTTACCATGGCAACAGGAGCCCAGATTTGGATCCAGTGGAAATACCTGAAGTCTCCTAAAAGTACCTTCCCCTCCACCTAGAAGTATGGAGCTGGGGAGTAACTTTGTGTGACCCTGGAAAGTCCCTGATCCTTTCTGAGTCTCAGTGCGTCCATCTGCAGAATGGAACTCTGTATGAATAAGTTCCTTCCTGCTCTGACACACTGAGTGTATAATTTTTGGATTGGTCTGTTGCCCTATCCCATGCTGGAGATTGAGGGTAAGACTGGTGCCCATACCTCATTTTCCCATTTCCCTTTTTAGCCTCTCTTGGTTGGGTGCCTGGGGATCTGCCCTTCTACAGGAAAAGAATCAACTTCCCTGAGCACTCTCTGGGGGACAGTAGCTGATAACTAAGGTTCAAATCCCAGCGCTGACACTCACTGTGTAATGGTGGGAAAATCATTTTACCTTTCTGAGTCTCAGTTTCTTCATCTGCAATATGGGGATTATACTCCCTACCTTTCACCACTTGTTGCCAGGATGAAGTGGATCATGGAGACTAGTGTCCTGGGCACAGCACCTGGCACACAGTGGTGGCATTCACCACTATCTGCACCGCCTCAGCCAAGCCAAACAGTCTGGAGGCACTCATCAACAGAACCAGTACCAGGGAGACCCCAGAGGGTACGGTACATATTCAAGGTGGAAACAAAGGCTGACACCCTTTCCCAAAGCACCCTGCTAGGGGCTGGGATCCTGAGAAGCCGATGGGCAAGCATAGTGAACCCAGCAGCTGGGGGTGTGCAAGGATTTTGAGAACTATGTTAGCTGCTTTGGGAGTATCTCCTGGCTCCATTTTTCCCTCTCCGCTAACAGCAGTAATTAACTAAGGCACCTACAATGTGCTGGTGTGGTGAGCCCTGCTCTCAGAAACATCACACTCTATCATCCTCTTATACAATTGAGGCAACTGAGATTCAGAGACGGGACGGGACTTTTGCAACCTCACACAGCTGATCCTCGAATCAAAACACAGTCTGGTTGCACCCTAACTGCACCCCACTAGCAGTCAGTCCTGGGACTGAAAGCTCCATCCTGTGCAAGGTGGAGATGGTCAGATCAGGAGACCAAATCCAGCTGTCAGGGCTCCCCGCAGCTTCCTGGGTCCTTAGATTCCTAGGTCCTTGCTGGCCTTCTGCCTGTGACCCCAGTCTGTGCTGCACCCAGGCCTCCTATCCACCCCTGTGCTTCGCAGACTGCAGGCCTCCCCTCTGTACCCACCTTGGTTGCTTCTCAGGGACTCCCTCTTCCCTGTCCACTAGTATCCCGGCCTCAACCCCCTTTCTCCACCCTCTGCTTTCCGGGGGACCCCTCTTGTCCTTGATGTTCATGCTGGTTGCCTCTCAGACCCCCACGCCTCCACACAGAACTCCCACCCACGTTCCTTGGTGCTCCCACAATCTCCTCCACACCTGTGTCTTCCGTGCCCCCTAAGGCCACCAACTACCGAAACCCACTCCGACCTTGGTGCGCCAGTGCCCTCCGTTACCTGTTTCCTCAGACCTCCCTTACCCCCGGACAGGAGGCCTCAGCTCCATGTCCTGGGGCGCGCTGCCAGTCCCTTGCTCCCTCGGCGGCCCCCAGACACCACGACCCCGCGCCCTCGGTGTCCCGCGCCCACCTTTGATGCTGATGCCCAGCCCACCGGCGTCGGCCTTGCGCACCGTCACGCCGGCGCCGCTGGAGCAGTAGCGCCTCTGGCAGCTGCGGGGCCCTCGCGCCCGGCTCTGCGGCGCCGTTGAGCTGCGCGGGCTCCGGCTCCCGCGGAGCGCCGGACTCGGGACCAGGGTCGCCGTCGGCGGGGCTCACGGTCAGCACGTCCTCCGCCCAGACTCAGCAGCACCCGCTGCCACCGCTCCCCGCCGGTCCCGAGCCCGCCCCGGCGCGCAGCTCCAGCAGGCCCGGTGCGCGGGGCGCGCCTGCGGACGCCATCTTCGCCTCCGAGACCCCGGGACGCCGCGCTTGCCCTGTCCCGCCGTGCCCAGCCCGCTCCGACCAAGCTCCAGGGCAGAGGGCAGCGGGGCCCCGCTGGGCCAGCCGCCACCCTACCCGGGCCGCTGGGGAGGCGATCTAGGGGCGGGGCTACCCGGGGGTGTGACCAGTGCTGGGGACTGGGCCTCGGGCAAATGCGGGAGGCCGGGGCGGGCCCGGGAGCCGAGGGCCGCAGTGTGAGACTACCTAGGGGGCGAGTCAGAAGGGCGGCGTGGCGGGACCACTAGGCAAGGCGAAAAGCCCGGGAGGCACGGTGCTGGGCGGGGCGTCGGGGGGCGGGGCTTCGCGTCGTGGGCGGAACCCAATCAGCCCGCGCAGTGGGCTCTGCGCTCGGCATGTCCATCGAGGGCCGGGACTGTAGCTCCCGGACGTGGGAGCGCATGAAAAAAAACAGAACCACGTATCCTGGTGCGAAGCACTGGGCAACGGGCTGGGCTGCATATGGCGGAGGACTGGGCTGCGTATGGTGGTCTGGGCTCCAGGGCTTGAGTTTAAGAGGTAGACACCGGCCAGGCGTGGTTGCTCACGCCTGTAATCCCAACACCTTGGGAGGCCTAGATGACAGCCCAGAGGCTCGAGGCTGCAGTAAGCCGCGATCGCGCCACTGCACTCCAGCCTGGGTGACAGAGCGAAACCCTGTGTCAAAAAAACAGAAAGGTGGACGCTGAGCCGCGAGAGACCTTGCAGGCAGAGTTGCTAGTTGGGGAGCTGAGGAAGAAGCTGGTTTCCCATCAGGTGGTCGAGGCTTTGGTCTGTGGGCGTGGCTTATCGTTGGCGTGGCTTCTAAAGAGGACAGGCCCCGCCCCCGGAGGAGAGAGCTGCCGACTCCACTTAGGGCTTGGGGAGGGGGTGGGCAGGATCCCCACTTCAAAACTGGAGGGAAGTTTAAGAGATTAATCCCTGGCTGTGTTCGCAGTCAAGTATAGAAAAGCCTGAAGTCCCACACTTTGAGGCCTGGCAGAAAAACCCAGAACTCCTAGTGTGGGGGAAGAAGGCTGCAAGGTGGGGCTCTGGGTCTGGGCCTCTGGAGACCTGGTTTCTAATCCTTGCTGCCTGTGTTAGCTCCAAGTCGACCTTGGTCCCCTCACGTTACTGCTCTAGGCCTCAATTTCCTCATCTGTAAAATGTGGATCATAATAATACCTACTTCACTGGGCTGGTGTGAGGATTAAATCAATGTGAAAACACGTGGTAAACTGTGACTCTATGCTATAATCACTTTCATTTAGTGACTGCTTACTCTTAGCTAGGGCTAGCAGAGTATTTTCCATGTGTTATCTCATCTTTACATTAGCCTCCTGGAGTAGCTAAGAGCACCCCCAGCTGGGCACAGTGGCTCACACCTGTAATCACAACTGAGGTGGGAGGATCGCTTGAGCACTGGAGGTCCAGACTGCAGTGAGCTGTAATTGCACCATTGCACTCCAGCCTTGGTGACAGAGCAAGGAAAAAGAGCACCCCTATTATATGGAAGGGAAAACTTGGATTTAGTCTAATTGGCCTAGGTCACACATTTATGAGTGAGGCAGAGCTGGGATTCAAACCCAGGACTGTTTGACACCAGTGCCTGGGCACTGAACCACTCTGCTAGACAGCTGACAAATACAGAGGTAAAGCATGATTGCAATCAGAAAAAATCCACCACATCACACAGCTCAACTGGCCTTCATACCTGCTTCTTGTCTCTATCCTCCATTTCTAGCTGGGATATGTTGGGCAATAAATAAGTAAGACCACACCAGTGTTTTGACTCCCTGAACTTTTGGGTAAAATCCTCCACATAAGATATCATCAAGAAAAAAAGAGGGGCCAGGTGCAGTGGCTCACACCTGTAATCCCAGCACTTTGGGAGGCTGAGGCAGGCGGATCACGAGGTCAGGAGTTCGAGAGTCAGCCTGGCCAACATGGTGAAACCCATCTCTACTAAAAACACAAAAATTAGCCGGGCATGGTGGCAGGCGCCTGTAATCCAGTTACTTGTGAGGCTGAGGCGGGAGAATCGCTTGAACCTGGGAGGCAGAGGTTGCAGTGAGCTGAGATTATGCCACTGCACTTCAGCCTGGGCAACAGAGCGAGACTCCTTCTCAAAAGAAAGAAAGAAACAAAGAAACAAAAGAAAGAAAGAAGGAAAGAAAGAAAAGAAGGAAGGAAGGAACGAAGGAAGGAAGGAAGGAACGAAGGAAGGAAGGAAGGAGAAAGGAAGGAAGGAAGGAAGGAAGGGAGGGAGGGAGGGAGGAGGGAGGGAAAGAAAAAGAAAGAAAGAAAGAGAAAGGGAAGAAAGGAAGAAAGAGGAAGAAGGAAGGAAGGAGAAAGGAAAGGGAAGGAAGGAAGGAAAGAAGGAAGGAAGGAAAGAAAAGAAAGAAAGAAAGAAAGAAAAAGAAAGAGAAAGAAAGAAGGAAGGAAGGAAGGAAGGAAGCAAGCAAACTCAGGGCCAGGCACAGTGGCTCGCGCCTATAATCCCAATACTTTGGGAGGCTGAGGTGGTGGATCACTTGAGGTCAGGTGTTCCAGACCAGCCTGGCCAACATAGCGAAACCCCATCTCTACTAAAAATATTTAAAAATTAGCGGGGCATTGTGGCAGACACCTGTAATCCCAGCTACTCAGGAGGCTGAGGCAGGAGAAACACTTGAACCCGGGAGGCGGAGATTGCAGCAAGCAGAGATTGCACCACTGCACTCCAACCTAGGTGATAGGGTGAGACTCTGTCTCAAAAAAAAAAAAAAACGAACAACAAAAGGAATTGTTTTAAGTTAGAGTGGTGTCAAAACAGGAGAGACACAGGTTTAGAAAAAGAACCCAGGGTCTTTCATACATATATATATGGGATTCCGAGGATGAAGGATCACTTGAGGCTAGGAATTTGAGACCAGTTGGGCAACTTAGCAAGACTCCATCTCTACAAAGTAAAGAAATTAGCCAGGCTTGGTAATGTGCACCTGTACTCCCAGCTACTTGGGAAGGTGCAGTAGGAGGCCTGTTTGAGGCTGCTACAGTGAGCCACAATCATGCCACTGCACTCCAGCCTGGGTGACAGAGCAAGGCCCTGTCTCAAAAATGAATGAAAGAAAGTGAGAGAAAAGAAGGAGAGGAGGGAGGCAGTGAAGGAATATAGCATTGTATATAGGCATTGATATCTTAAAAGTATGACTGAACTTAAAGATTGTAGGACAGCCTGAGGAATTTGGGGTAAGCACTTGTGATAAATAACTACAGCCTACTTGGCTTGTGGAAGCTTCACTCCAGTGGTAGAGAAAGGAGGGGAGGACAGACCCGGCAGGAGGCAAGAGACCAGCAGGGAATTGAAGTTCCTTTCCCAGGACCAAAGCCTGGAACCAGATCCTTAAAAGTCCCCCCACGTACTGCCCTGCTTTAAAAAGACTTAATGAGGCCCAGACAAACTTGCTGAGAAAGATCCCTAAGAGAGGATTTCTCCTCTAGGGGACAGTTTTCTGTGGCTATAACAGGAAAGAGGGGAAGGAGTGATGTGTGCAAAGGGCTAACATAGAAAGAAGATGTAGAGCCAAGGAAACAGCGACATGTGCATGCATGTGTGTATGTCTGTATGTGAGTATGGGTGTGTGTGTGTTTGTGATCACACTTGATAGGCAGTGCCAATCACCAGTAGCTACCCCCAAGAACCCTGCAGCTGCAGGAATGCTCTACCCCTACCCTGTGATCAGCCGATGCCTCTCTGCTGTGGCTCAGAAATTGGCCTCCCAGATAGATACACATAGGCCTGGCTCCCTGCCAAGCCCCAGGCAGAGCTCCCAGAGGAAAACAGTTCACTCCCAAGGGATAGGAGAGGGAGAAGGGGAAAAAAAAGGGGAGAGAGGCTGCCCAGCCTACTAAAGTCTCTGTAAGCTCTGGCCAGGCACAGTGGCTCACACCTGTAATCCCAGCACTTTGGAGGCCTAGGCGGGTGGATCACCCGAGGTCAGGAGTTCAACACCAGTCTGGCCAACATGGTAAAACCCCATCTCTACAAAAATACGAAAATTAGCCGGGCACAGTGGCTCAAGTCTGTAATCCCAGCACTTTGGGAGGCCAACGCCAATGGATCACGAAGTCAGGAGATAGAGACCATCCTGACCAACATGGTGAAACCCTGTCTCTACTAAAATACAAAAACTTGGCCAGGCGCAGTGGCTCATGCCTATAATCCCAGCACTTTGAGAGGCCAAGTTGGGCGGATTGCTTGAGGTCGGGAGTTCGAGACCAGCCTGGCCAACATGGTGAAACCCTGTCTCTACTAAAAATACAAAAATTAGCTGGGCGTGGTGGCCACACATCTCTAATCCCAGCTACTCAGGAGGCTGAGGTAGGAGAATGGCTTGAACTCAGGAGGTGGAGGTTGCAGTGAGCCAAGATCACACCTCTGCACTCTAGCCTGGGTGACAGAGCTAGACGCTGTCTCAAAAAAAAAAAAATTACCCAGTCGTGGTGGCACGTGCCTGTAGTCCCAGCTACGTGGGAGACTGAGGCAGGGGAATCACTTGAACCCGGGAGGTGGAGGTTGCAGTGAGCCGAGGTCACGCCACTGCACTGCAGCCTGGTGACAGAGCGAGACTCCATCTCAAAAAAAAAAAGATAGATAGATAGATAGATAGATAGACAGATAGATAGACAGACAGATAGATAAAAATTAGCCAGGCATGATGGCGGGTGCCTGTAATCTCGGCTGCTTGAGAGGCTGAGGCAGGAGAATCACTTGAACCCCAGAGGCAGAGATTACAGTGAACCGAGATCGAGCTATTGCACTCCAGCTTGGGCAACAGTGCAAGACTCCATCTCAAAAGTAATACTACTACTACTAATAATAATGCAAAAATTAGCTGGGCTTGGTGGCACATGCTTGTGATCCCAGCCACCCAGGGGCTGAGGCACAAGAATAACTTGAACCCAGGAGGCAGAGGTTGCAGTGAGCAGAGATGGTGCCACTGCACTCCAGCCTGGGCAACAGAGCAAGTCTCTGACTCAAAAAAAAACAAAAAACGAAAGTCTCCACAAGCTCAAACCCTTGTATCAAGTGTCTGGGGTCCTGGTCAGAGAGGGAGGTCCCTCTGCATGGGCTCTAGGGCAGGGATCAGGAATTCCTATACTCCTGGCTTCCCAG